TCGCGACGAAGCAAAATAAACTGGATCGGAGCTAACTCTGCATTGATCGGAACGAGCGTGACCTCGCTGTCACCTATGAAGCATCTGAACAGCTGATGTATATTCCTTTAGTGGAAGCAATAACTGGAGTTGTTACTTTCTGAGCGACGCGTATCTAAATCGGAAGGCTGAGCCAATAAAACAGTAAATTTTTGTTGCTTAAAACAAGTCAGAGCGAGCCGTATTCAGCGGACTCTTTTTGTACGAAACAGATTGCGCTAAGTCCGGGTACACGCAATATAGCAGACTGTTATAAATAAAGGGATACAATATTGTTGGGTTTCACTTGAATGGAGATCATTTAATAGTCTTGTACAATTCGTTGAGTTCTTCTGCAGATGTAGATCACTTTATTACAATCGACTCTTCATTTCAGCGCTATAGTCAAAAGCCATGCATTGGGAAGACTCACCGGTGCAGAATTGTGTCGAATCCGGAAGAGGAACCTCCGCCAGGTTTTGCATGCGAAGTGGTGCATGAGCTGAAACCAAATCGCAGGTAAGATAAANAGGCTGTACTGCTGCTTGTGGTGTACCTGGACAGTGGAATTCCATGGCCTTAGCGGCGGCCTTGCCTGGAAGATGAGCAGGTTCCTGATAACCTGAAGGACACCACAACGGTAGTAAGGAGAAAAGTGTTTGCAGCACCAGAATTAAACCATAGTGCGTGCAACTAGCAGGTATATAAGTGAATGTGGAAGTAGCTGTACTTGTGCCCCTTCTAATCATGGAGGTTTGTGCCCGTTTGTTCCTTTTCCATGGACAGTCAACACTAGGGAATTCCCCATTCCATTCTGCAAGCACTGCTTGTTGCTCTGCTTCTTCGGAGGTGCTTGCATATCTGCCAAATGCCTGAGAAAGTCCGGCAGAACCTTTGGAGTCATTCCAGGCGTTGACACCTCTGAGGAACTGTACCAGCACATGACTGTAACCTTCGTCTACAGTTTTGGATCTCTTCCCCAAGACTTTTGAGATAAGCTTAATGCCTTCGTCTGTACGCACGGTCCGAGCCCCAATAACATAAAGATTCTAGTCATGCNTGAGATAAGCTTAATGCCTTCGTCTGTACGCACGGTCCGAGCCCCAATAACATAAAGATTCTAGTCATGCACGGCATCGCTCCGGTTAGCTATTCGTGACTATGGTAAGGCAGGTGAATACAACATTTTGAATGCAAGAGTCATTTGGAGTAGTGGGTCACCTTGAAGCTTTATACATTGGTGCCCCATGAGGATCACGTTGCCTGCATCTGTAGAAAGCAACTCGCCAAGCTGCACCACTGGATGCTGGGCGCAGATATCGACTAGCTGTTGCGCTGCATTCAGCGGCAAAATCCAGTCTGCAACACCGTGTGAGCCTAACGTCGACTCCGTATACATGAAGCTGGCCATAATATCTTTGGAAATGTCCTTGAAGGAGAGCTCGCGGGCTCCATGCCTGCCTTTCTTAGACCCCAAGGTCCAGCCAGGTGGCACCACGAACTTGTTAGTTTTACATCCTGCTTTTACAAGCTCCATTGCAACCTTAGCCTGGTTGTGGCCTGAAAATTGGAATGCGCACTTAATAGAACTTTTGCACTTTCTTTAGGGCTTCGCTTGAGCGTGGCCGAGATCGCAATCATTTAACAACTGGGCAGTGTGGCGGAAGGTATGCGAAATGCTGCGTTGCGCACCATTGTTGAAAATGAGGGATGTGAATGCCAACCGAGCATTCCTGAATGTGGTTGCAGTACTCTGAAACGATTCAGTCATTTCTTGCGTTTGCTCGCTGGATGAAGGGCCGAGTACCCACCAAACGAGAAGCAAACGAACGAGCTGCTGAAGTTCTCCCGAAGTTGCGCACATTTCTCCGGTAGCCCCGCGTCTCTTCCCTTTTGTTCTCTTCACTGCATTCTTGAGGCTTCGTAGAAGGGTTCGCTTATTTTTCGCTGATTCTGAAGGCATTAGGAGCTCAGAAGCCTCCTCCACTTCTGTCACACAAGGTGTGAACATTTCAAGGAAACTTGCTGCTTTCTTCTTTAGGTGCTTCACTGCAGACTCATAGGCATTCGTACTAAACACGCCATCTCCCATTGTCTGCACTATTTTCTCCCATGGCAGCGCTTTACTTTCCTCGAGCTCCACCCTCAAAAATGTGCCTGCAGCGCATGCATCAAGCTGGGTACAGCCGTAAAAGCTAGGCAAGTGACGGACCTACGGAGCAGTTGCCCAACCCTGCATGTACACACCAGTTTTGTTCTAACACAAGGAGCGGAAAGCGCGAATTCCGTGTCCCGAGTGGCTCACCAATTTGCAATGCTATAGAGGCAAACGGTGCGAACAGAGGCGGCAGCAATTCGCCACCAAGGCCACACGAAAAACATTTGTATATGGTGGCGAAAACGTCAGACCTTTTAGCCAATTTTCTCTGTTTTTCTGTGCTCTCTAGGCCAGCACCCGAGTCATTAATATATCCACGAATGTTTGTCAGCACAGTCGATGCGAATAGCAGTGGGTTTGTCATGTCAGTCTCCAGAAGTAACCTGCAGACGTTGGCTGTAGCGGATATGTTCATGGCATTGATATTAGCGTTTCCACCGACCACAAAGGGGTGTGCTTCTTCAGCAGCCACGGGGTGGTGAGCGGTTGGGGGGGACAGTTTTCTAGAGTCTTCCAACAGTGAAGCACCTTCTGCTTCACTTGACGACAGGGCATGAGCACTACCTGGAGAAGGCCGTGACATTCCTGACTCAGCCTGCTGTTGTTTGGGCTCAGAGTGAGACGAAGGCCCAGCCTGATCCTCAACACTAGGAGGGATGCCGACCGACACGCTTTTAGTCAGGTCCCTCGAAGAAACCAACAGCTGTTTTGCTACTAGCCATGCCCCGGCAACAATCTGATCAAGCTCAACAACTTCGTCGAATGAATAAAATGCAGCCATACGCAGCGCTGTAGGAGACACAGCAGAATATTATGCCACTGAATAGAAAAAATACGGGCCTTACAGCTCCCCAAGAGCTCACCGAAGAGCATACCAACTAGTTGTCACCATGTGGACACTCACCATCGCCAATTCGGATGTCATGACGCCGAAGCCGATACTTCTTTCTATGCTTCTCTGTTTCCTTATTTGCCCAACCCTTCCGTAAGGCTNATGACGCCGAAGCCGATACTTCTTTCTATGCTTCTCTGTTTCCTTATTTGCCCAACCCTTCCGTAAGGCTGCTTTGACCAAGCAATCAGAATTGCAGCTGCTAAGTGACCCTCGGGGTAGCAAGCCTGAGACGGTACGGCAAGGGAGCAATTAAAGAAAAACAGACGAATGGCTGTGATCATTGCATATGCACTGCGTTCAATGAGGACATCAATTTCGTTTAAGACGTAAGCGCACCTGCTTGGCTTTTTTTAGCGTCTCCCGTTGAGCAGACGGAACTCATCAAGTGCGAAAAGGTGTGAGCGGCAGGGCTGTAGCCTGCACGGACATGAACCCAGAGCACTTAAACATCCCGGATCAGAAGCAGGCTCTTTTACGGTGCACCTAACAATCTCTGATTGGCATGACAGCCTGCTTTCTTACCGTGACGGCCCTTCACCCTTTGCTCGCTCTTCCAATGGGAGTGACAGCTTAGGCTTTCCACTCCCGCTGCATTTAGTCCCAGCTCGAAAAATATTCCCGCCAGGCACTGACTTCTCAGTGGAGCATGGCGCCCTATTTCCTGTATTGGCGAAGCTGTGGGGGACAAGTAAGCTCTGTTAACCGTGTTCTCGGTCANGCGTTTAGCGGCAGACACCCAGGTAGAGCATGTTGAATAAGTACAATCTGCAACATCTCAATCACTGCGTGCACACACATAGGAGGAAAGAGCACGTGGATAAGCGGTTCGTTGCTTCCAACACCAAGGAGAACGACATGCGGGTGGTAAGCTTGGATGACTTGCTTTTCATTGCTTCTGCAGCGGAAAATATACTGTATTTCGTAGAAGCGTCCTTCCACTTTTTGCCTGCTTTTCTCCCAGACGGATATTCGGGGACTGGAGCTCCAAGCATGTGGCGCACTCCAGCGACAATGCGAAAGACTGCACACAGCAAACGGAGCTTCCTCAGTGGCTCACTAAAGTAATGATTAAACCGTTGGAAGCAAGCACTGCAAGATTAGTGCTGCATTGCGCAACTCTAGAAAAACTAACCGCTGGACTTTTCCTTTAAGGAGAGAAGAAGCCCTCCAAAATTTCCAGTTTTCCTTCCGGTCTCAAGAGTTTCTCCATACCCGCTCTGGGTGGCGAAGTCAAGAAGACGGGCGAAGATTTCCGGGTCTTCGTTTTCGAGAGTGTGCCATGAGCCGTTGAGCGCCGTGTCCACAAACGCAACCTCCACTGAAGGCAATAAGGACTCCAACATGGATGCAATCATGGTAATTCAGCGGCTTATACTAGCTAGAATAGTGCCCACGTTTGGCTGGCCTACAGTGCACCTTAGTACGTGTTATTTGACCAACCGGCGTTTGGAGCCAAAATAAGCTTTAGTACGTTGACTGTCTTCTCCACTCCCTCTAGGGAGGCCGTTTGGCCTTCCACTGTCTGTACAGTAAATACCGGTTCGCTAGGATGCAGGAAGTCATCAAGAACCTTGACACTGTTTCCGGGCGTGGGTGACGACGATATGCCTGTATTAGCCGTCATTCACACANATCAAGAACCTTGACACTGTTTCCGGGCGTGGGTGACGACGATATGCCTGTATTAGCCGTCATTCACACAGTTGAGCATACAGTTGGTTACATTACAACACACTTCCAATGATTCCACTCTAGAACTACATGTTATAGAGTACGATCCATCCTGACGACAACTGTGGCTTACCATCTAAAAGAGCGTTTGGCTGAGACCCTGTCGAGCATACGCAAATAGCAACGCACGCAAGGCATTCACCGACACTGAGCAAATCCCCTAAGAAATGCACGCTCCGCATCATGGCCCTACCCAGCGGGAGCCCTTAAGGAAGGGTCCTACCATCGAATAGATTTACCATTAAATTGTTTCAGATTTTCGAGGATCCGTTCACAGGCAGTGTATATCAAAAGCCCTTGACGTACTGACTGCAACTCATGCGGAAAGTATCCAACTCTTTCCGTGTCAAGATCAACCACAAATTTTAAGCATGAGTCGCCATCTGCGGTTGTAGCCTCAATCGCCTCAAATATTTCCTTCTGTTGATTTGCGTCTGAACGACAGGAAAAACAAAGAGTGCTTCCATGTTAGGTAGACGCGCTTCGTACGTGGCTACCAGGACTCGGGAAAGAGGACTCCTTTTTCGACCCCAGTGAAATGTTTACTTGTTGTGAAGCTCCCGAGCACCTCCTTGCCAATATCCGTAGTCNTTTTTCGACCCCAGTGAAATGTTTACTTGTTGTGAAGCTCCCGAGCACCTCCTTGCCAATATCCGTAGTCTGTGCCAATCGATTTGCATCGAACACCACTCCTAATGAGGCTGAACGTACGCGGGCATTCACACAAAGAATGCAAATGGATTGCATGTAACCAGATGGTCTCTAATTGCTCTTAATTCACCGGAAGAGCGCAGTTCATTTGCAGAGGGATTTGTAACTCACTGGCTCGTTTTGCACTTCCTTTCTTTGGCGACTTTTTTAATCTTAGAGACCTTAGTATGGAACGTTTTTTCTTGTTCGATTCTGTTTTTATTTCCTCCGTTGCATCTGCAACATGCAGACAGAGGTGAGTCAGCACCCAAAAGAGCAACTTATACTGCGGCTGACACTGTGTGGTAGCGCGTGATTTTAGGATCTTCCGCTTGTCAAGTAGCTCGAGGCTAGATTTTTTAACGGAGAGTTTCTCCCGCCAGCGCAGGCAACGACTTACATTCTCCAAGAACATTTCACTGGAGACGAGATGTGTACGAAAATGGAGCAGTGGTAAAAAAACCATCAGCTATGCATTTGCTAGACAACAGGCTGTGCCAATCAAACAAATTACCTGGCCTAGGTGTCTCAGCTTCGGCCTCGCCTTCGTCACCCCCAGGTGCTACTAAATTCTCTTGTGAGCTGCTAGGGGGACTGCCGTTCCTACGTTTCTTGCCAGCGAAAGCTGATTTTAGTCTCCTCAATCCCTTCTTCTTTTTCCTGTCTTCTCCTTCGGCTAATGGCTCGCTCGAACTCCCTTCTGAAAAGAAAATTGGGAAACAGGAAAAGATCGGTAAAAGCAGGCCTGGCAGACAGTTCTACTAGCACCTAGCAGACCGTCAGTTGCATTAACGGTATGTTGGCACCAACAGAAGCACATTATCCTTTTCTCCTGGCAGGAAGTGCACGCGGAATGGTCTTTCTGCACGAAGACAAGTCAGGCCGCTTCTCGACGGCGCGTCAACTGACGAAGCCATATCTGGCAAGAAACACCTGTCGTGGAATTCTCAGCGTCGGCATCACTCTCNGACGAAGCCATATCTGGCAAGAAACACCTGTCGTGGAATTCTCAGCGTCGGCATCACTCTCATCTCCATGAGGCGTTAGCAAAGCCTCCCGTGATCCACCATGGGAACCCCTTTTCCCTTTTCGTTTTCCCGAAACGGGTATTTTTATTTTAAAGGGTCCCCTTTTCTTTTTGCCGCCCTGCCCTCCAGCCAGTGAGCCGCTCGAGCTTGCTTCTGAAATGAAAAGTAGACAACAGAATACGAACCGTTCAGCCAGGCGTTGCAGACAAATCTACAAACACCCTGCAGCTCATCAATCGCATTAAAGGTATGCTAGGAACAAACGAAAGCACAATACTTCTTTTCCACTGGTTGGTAGTGCACGCGGAATGGTCTTTCTGCACGAAGACAAGTCAGGCAAGTCTTCCGCAGAGCGTCAACTGACGAAGCCATATCTGGCAAGAAACACCTGTCGTGGAATTCTCGGCGTCGGCATCACTCTCATCTCCATGGGGCGTTAGCAAAGCCTCCCGTGATCCACGTTGGGAACCCCTTTTTCCTTTTCTTTTTCCCGAAACGGGTATTTTTATTTTAAAGGGTCCCCTTTTCTTTTTGCCTCCCTGCCCTCCAGTGAGTGATTCGCTCGAGGCTCCTTCTGAAAAGAGAGTACGACACCAGAATAAGAGCCACTGAACTCCACTGAGACAGGCTACGGTAAATCCTGTACTCCAATATAGCAGGCGCTTAATCAGGTTCAGGTAGCATTATTTGCCGAGCGGCCACTGCAGAAGGGTCTACATCGTCCGTTCTTGATCGGCTGCACTCTAAGCTGGTCTGACTCTTGGGACAGAGAACGGGTTACTTTATCGACAGCGCGCCAACTACATATTTGGTTATGTCACTTGGGGAAAAGTTTACCTAGCGTGGGAGTATTAGTAGTCGCATCTCCCTCTTCGTTTCGGGTTGCTGACAAGTTTCCTTGCGATGCGTTTTTGGAGGCGTTTTTCCCTCGTTTTTTCCCCAGAAAATTGTGTCTCTTGAAGTGGGATCCCTTCTTTTTCTTGCCTTCTCCTCCTNCCTTAAGTAGGTGATTTGCCGTTCAAGGAGGCTTCTGCATAGTAACTCCCTTGGGCCTGCCAAGCCGCATATTGGAGTTTTGGAACAGGGCGAAAAATTGACCAACGAAAAGCTATTAGATGAGGTGGGAAAGCGCATTCTACATTTCTGTGCTCTGGGTAGCCGTATTGCATGCTACCGCATGAAATTCGTTGACTGTTGCCTACAGCCTCACCGGTTGTATCGCTTGTGGACTCGAAGAAGCTTGGGTATATGTCTGCAACCAGATCACAAAAGGAGGTGGCATCAACATAAGTACATGTTTAAATTGTGATCGGTATATCTGCACCGGAATCCGAGCAAGAAAGTGGTACAAACGCTACAAAAGAGAAGGAACACGCATGCAGCTGAGAAGAGCCGGTGAACTCCCAGATCTGTTAAATTCTGTACCTGCCAGCCTTTGACCGCGATATATGGCTTCCAGGTTTTCCATGTGAGCATGTTCCAATGTCGCCGGGGTAAAACTGCCCTTACTCCCTGTTATTGCTCCTTCAGCCTTGCCTGAGCTGTCCATGCATCCAATTATAGCTAAGGTCCACAATAGTATTTTCCCTAAAGACGCAAGTAACAGGTAGCCAATGCGAGGATGCCACTTCTTGCAAGCTCGTGGAAGCAGAATTCACAGCTCTGCAGCAGTTTCCTGCTCGAGCGAGAGCAAAGCAAGCAAATATTCTGCTCGTAGTAAGCTTATGTTTCATGAACAAGTCANTCCTGCTCGAGCGAGAGCAAAGCAAGCAAATATTCTGCTCGTAGTAAGCTTATGTTTCATGAACAAGTCACTCCTCTAGGTCTCTCCAGAGCCGGTGGAGAAGGATGCTTTTACAGTGAGCACGTACCCCATGGCGCCATAGCATATGTCGAGGACAATGCGGCTGCTGGTCTGCGAACCCAGGTAGCCGGCCCTGGTGATGCGCCTTCAGCGAGTTGCACGTAAATCCATTCGGGTGCGTCACGTGTGCCTTCGGACTCGCATGTGGGACAGACGGAGGGAGCTCCACGGGAATTCAAATGTCTCTCTCGCATTTCATGCTGCTCACACATGTTGGGGGGCACAGGTCTGCCTGGGCCTCTCTGTATGTCCGTCGAGACACGCCTCAACGGTAGCTGTGAAGAGCTAGGAAGGAACCTAGCTTGGGACTCCAAGCTTTTCTCCATCTTGGTTGTTCAGCAGAAAGAGGTTCAGCCTGAGAAATAGAAAACTCAACAAGCGCACAGGCTTTGTAGCCTTACCTCTGGTAGGGACAACGGAGCCAATGCGGAGGCAGCCGCCCCGACTGCAACCGGTCACGGAATGCAATATAACCCAAATTAGCGCAAGCAGCAGCTTACCCATTAAATCATTCAGCGAGTTTAAAGTAAAATTGGTGGACTTACGTGCGGAACCGGTAATCCCCCTTTCTGTATGCCTCGTTTGTGTGAGCAATCGACGGCCGACGCAACAGCGATCTCCGTAAGTAAGGAATATGGCTTCGGAAGTAGAATTCTGAAGCTTGTAGGCAAGTTCCCTCTAAAAGCCTACCCAATATAGTTTTTACTATACCTGAAACCGGATTCAGCACTTTCCCTGTTGCAACTTATCACGCCGCACGCTCACTGATTTGTCCACCGTGGCAAAGCCAACCACTCGGAACGCAGGGCATCGCACTAGACAGCTTGGTANCTCACTGATTTGTCCACCGTGGCAAAGCCAACCACTCGGAACGCAGGGCATCGCACTAGACAGCTTGGTATCGGCAGTTTGCCACAGAAATATGCTCTAAGCCCTCCACATTAAGTTTAATATTAACAGATACTGGATTTTAATTGGAGTAGGTATTAGGTAAATGACCCTAACGTGTTGCATCTTGGCTCTGCCGCCCCTCTTGCGTCGGCGGTCCCGGCGAGTTCCTCTGCCAGACGGTCTGTTAGTAGTAAAAATGCAGCGTTCTTCCCCCCCAACTCGCCGCTTGTGCCCTGAATAAACAAAATTAGGCTCTTAATGAGATTTAGGGACCTGCGGGGGGGGGCTGAAGACTGCGAAAAGACGTACACAATACTCACTTGCAGTGAGCTGCATATCGGACTACTCGCGAAATTCTAAGTAGTCCGCAGCTGGAGGTCCGGGCTCGAAGATAAGAAAGTCTGAAGGGCCGATACTTTTCCAATGAGTTAATCTAGCAAATGCATGTACCGAGTGCATTTACGGGCCGAACGGGGTCCACCTCCCTACCCGTGGTGCGCCTCACTTTTTGATCAAAATGATAGGCACAAACTTGTAGACACACTATGCGTTGCAACGAGACACAAACACGGTAAGTGCATACAGAACTGCAGCAGAAAATGCCTTCTGCAAGTAACTAAGGGTAGTGGACGAGATCAATCCTCATCCACGCCTAGCCCCGGTCCGTCAGCCTGGCCCGTCTACTACCAGTGGAGCAGGCAGACAGAAAGTGATAAGGGCAGACCCCCCTGCGGTGCACTGTTCCTCTGCTGGAGATCCCCTTTTTTACTCTTCTCGTACGAATGCGTAAAACGCGAAGTCGGGTATTAGCGACAACCATTACCTTGTGCCGCGTATTCACTAATGTTAACGGTAGTAGCTAAGAGATATTTCGTTGCTGCAGCAGCATGCCCTGGCACCTTAAACTTAGTGAACTACGAGTAAATGCTCAACGAACAGGCATAAACAACTTTGGGCTAGCGATCAGGTACGAAGGCTGCAAGGAAGTCGGACCTAACGCAGCAAAGCGCCATATTGCACGCCGCTAGACTGGTGTGGAGATATGCAAGAGCTCTCGAAAACTAACTTCATGAATTTCCAGTCTCTGAAAACATATATTTAATCTTGTTAAAAGTCACCAATACGAAGTACGCATCAACAGTAGTCATTGTGCCGGTGCGGCGACGCCAGGTGTAACGAGANAAGTCACCAATACGAAGTACGCATCAACAGTAGTCATTGTGCCGGTGCGGCGACGCCAGGTGTAACGAGAGTCCGCCATCGTAGCGGCGGACAACCGCGGGGTGCAACGGAGTCGAAATGCTTCAGAATTCCTCCCCGAACAGCTGACTTATCCAGCAGTTCCCAGGCATCCCGAGCGCAGCGGGAACGAGGCTCTGAGGGTGGCAGGTCGACGAGGAGGCATGCCATGATGTGCAGCAATCTGTGCCGCAACGCCCGTTGCAAGGCAACTACACATGCGACCGTACCCAATCCCTCTTTCGATGCATGCATCAACCCTGTTGAGAATTTCAAACACTTGGCTGTCACCCGTCACGCAGTTAAAAATAGATGCTTCAGCATCAGACGGAGCATGCGATGCAAAGGGTGGTGTCTCTGCATGCAGTTAGCCAAGGCGGCTAGGCAAGACTACGGGATATCGCCTCAAACACGGTGGATGGGAGACGGAAGTTCAATGCCAAGAATTAGTCTGTAAAGTGTGGGGCCTTGTCCAAGGAATACAGCGGTCCGCAATGAAGCCAAAGACTTGAGATAAGAGTCTCCTCAAAAGCCTCCCTCCACCGTCTCTAGGCAACCAGTGCGTCAGCTCAGCGCCTGGCCTTGACGGGGAGAAGGCAGCATAACACGAGTTCAGTGCACGCCGCTGCAGCTGGCGATGCAAGCCAACCACACGTGTGAGCACAGGGAAGCTTCAACGGAGCTTCCCTTACTGCATGCTTTATTTCCCCAAGCACTTGTGGAGAACTTTGGTTGCAGTCAGTCTATCAAGGCAATGTGAGTGTTCCTGTGCTAACTGCAGGCAGACCATGCTACATGTACTACATAGACACTGGTGAGGAAATGAGTGTTACCGGTAAACTTGACCCCTTCTCACATGATGGCGCTGTGCAGAATCCTAGGCACTCGACTGAGTTAAAATTGTTAGTATTAGCAATAGGATGATGTTTGTAAGGCATTACCTGCGTCAAAATGTACGTTCTTCCGTCTACACATTGCTACCACGCCACTCGGGGCGGCGCTCTGGGGCTGGCACAACTTAGCATCACACTTAAAGGATGAATTCTAACTACCCTAAGAGCCGAAGACTCTCCTAAATAATGTGTTTTGGCTGTTCACACGTGCTTTTTGTGGGGGTGGGGGATTAGTTATAGTCTCCGGCATTCTCGAAGCCGGCACATGGAAGGCCCGCCAGCTGGTGAAATCCGCCATCCTAGGTATCAGGGCGGACGATCCCAGTGGAGGCAAAGCCATTGGGGTGGACAAGAATGTGGAGCGCTTGTCTTCCTTGCACATCTTGTGGTGATCAGCGCACGACGTCCACGCACAGCTGTCATGTGGATCTACGACTAAGATGTGGCTTTGGGGGGGAACTTCGAGCGCCTCACTCCAGAAGGACGTGACTGACATCTCTCCTCAGGAATTTTATTCCGCCGACCACTTGTTGTAAGCTCGATCGCGTTGAGCACCACGGGGAAGGGAGGGCCCATTACCTCGCGAGGTTCGCACTTGCTGCTGTGTATGCAGTTGTTGTGGTTTTCTTCCGCAGAAAGCTGTTGGATTCCCTGCCGCCGTACGATGCTATCGACGAGAGAAACCGGGACTTCACGATTGNCGCAGAAAGCTGTTGGATTCCCTGCCGCCGTACGATGCTATCGACGAGAGAAACCGGGACTTCACGATTGAGACGCTGCGACAGGTTGCAGAGGTGCTCGTGTGGGGAGAGCACAACAATCGGGGATACTTCGACGTTTTTTGCGAGCAAAATGTCCTTTCGTATTTTGTACAACTTGCCGAGCAGCCAACTGTTCCCAATGCAGTCAAAGTACAGCTTCTTCAGACGCTCAGCATCATAGTGCAGAGCATTAACAAAGAAACAGCGGTTTGTAAGTGCGGCCAGAGAGCGCATCACCCTCGCCACAACTTGGATGCCGTCTACCCGATCGAAACGTCCACAATTCCATGCACTCAGCATACATGCACATTCAGGAAGCTTTACTTCGGGAACTTGCGATAGGCAGGAAATGTATGGGGATGGGCACGCTAAATATGCGCTGCACTGTTGCAGACTACATGTTCAGCAACAATTATATTAACTCCCTGTTGAGCACTAAGTTTGACTTCGACGATGAGGAGGTCGCGAGCTGGTACGTTTCGTTCATCAAGAGTTTGTCGCTGCTGGTCAATGCGGACACAATAAAGCTCTTTTTGAACGAGCGAGCGAAGCATTTCCCCATATACAGCGAATCCGTGAAGTTCTTTCGAGCAAAGGATTCGATGGTCCGTACGCACTCGCGGAACGTGACTCTAAGCATATTTAGAGGTACTGCTTCCACCGCCAACGCCAAAGATTCAATTGACTCCACTTGTTGCTTTTCTTCACCTCTGGGTTANGTACTGCTTCCACCGCCAACGCCAAAGATTCAATTGACTCCACTTGTTGCTTTTCTTCACCTCTGGGTTAGGTGCCTATTTTTGCTGCGATCGTCGCCAATGCGGTGTTGACAAGACCCTCGAGTTCAGCTACCCTACGTCCTGTTGAAGTTTTCCCTTCCGAGTAAAGTGAACTTTCGCGTCCTCGATACGTACCTCTGTGCTTATGTGTGCGCAGTCCAGGACCTGTCTTTACGAGCTTTTCTCATAGAAAGGCCCATTTTCTTTTCCCACGTTGCTTGCTATCTCCGGGAGCTTGTGGATGGCCAGCTTCTCCGTTTGACGACTAACCGTGATGCCTCGCCGGACCGTTGCATTCAGGATGGGGTATTAGAAATAGAAGAGATGCTCTTCTACGTTCAAGATATTTTCAGCTTGGGTGTTGAAGAGTTTTCCGAGCTCCTTGCAGCGCGTCTTATGTTGCACTGCTACTTACCACTGATAGGTTAGGATGCTAAGATTAAGAAAGCGTCAAGATGGAATTCCCCGTTAAATGTAGCAGTTGTATGCAACCCCTAGTAACCTGAGGCACGACCAGCCTGTACGGAACCCTCATCGGGATATGGGGTGTGGCAGGCGCCTGCGCCTGTGCTTAGGCATGCTTGGAATGCATGTTAACACCAAGTGGGAGCGGGACCACTCGAATTCGGTGAAGACGGAATCAAGCAAGCATGACAGTCGTGATGTTTGCCTCCAGCTACCTGGCAACGGCGACGAGCATTGCGGCACTGGCTCCCCAAGAAAAACCACTGACGGTGACGGCCTCTCGCAAGAGGAGAAACGCCTTGAACAGGGTTGGATGTGGGGCTGGAGCACGCCCGAGGACCTGCAGGACCCAAAACGCAGGTGTGGGGTACCGACCCAATTGGCAAGTACTGCCACGGGTTCACATATGTTGCCTAGTCCGACCGTCGACCTCAGCAAATCATGGCGGGCTCGAGCTGCGGAGGCAATGTCGAGNATATGTTGCCTAGTCCGACCGTCGACCTCAGCAAATCATGGCGGGCTCGAGCTGCGGAGGCAATGTCGAGGAGGCTTGGCGACGGGTCACGGGAAAAAGCAGCGAGCAACTTGTGTATGGCACCAAACGACAGCACTGCTTCCGCCCCTCGTGTATCCACTAACTTACAAGAGTCTCAGCTAGAAAACCAATCGCAAAGCATCATCAACTGTGACGGGGCGCTGAGGCTCGTATTGTTCTTTTTGATTCAGACATTTAATGTACGTCTCGAGGGATGCAGGGGTAGTTGCTGCGCAGAGTGGAATATTTGTTGGTTACGTTGGAACGGTGAGGGCAGCTTAGCCTTCGCGCTGTCCCTACTTGATGTGTGTATCAGTGCATTCAGAGTGAAAAGTTGCTTCGTCCCCTCGTAGCTACATTACTCCTGCAGCGCATACCGAAGCCCCTTTACGACTTGATAGTGGCCAAGGCACCAGCAATGCCAGAAGCATACAAAAATTTGCGGAATCCGAGCGAATGTGCCGGGAATATAGACACGTTCCTCCCGACTCAAGAGCTGCCCAGCAGTGGCGAAAGTCGCGAGGTAACTAGTGAGGGCAGCAACGTGCGGAAAGAAACCAGTGATACCAGCATAGGGACCAGTGAAGCACGTTTAGCACCCACAGGTGATCACTCGAAGGTGCATTCAGCCCTTTCGTTCGAAGATCGCATCCGGATGCTTAAGATATCTATGGATGCCCTTCTTACACTGGGCTATTTCGAAGTGCTAGACGACATTGACGGAGCGCGCTCTCGCGACGAAGCACGTCAACCGAAGGAGCCATGCCGCACTTCTCCGGATGGTGCTGAGTGGGATGAAGACTGGTGCAGGGGACAGGCAGAGGCGAACCATATCAAGTGGTGTCACAACCCTGTCCAACAGCATTTGTTGATGCTGCTCGACGGCTGCGAGCTCGCCCAGCGGCAGTGTGACGTTTGTTTCTTGGTGCTGGCAACCCTACTACAGTCCATATTCCGCCACCCTTCAACCACAACTGTGNTGACGTTTGTTTCTTGGTGCTGGCAACCCTACTACAGTCCATATTCCGCCACCCTTCAACCACAACTGTGAGTGTTATCTGCCTTTCATCACTTTTCCGTATCCCCCTCGAGCCCATCTAGCACCAGCACAGCTTATAATCCGCACCGGTAGCTCGTGGATGCTGGCAGATCAATAAGGAGCTTCTGCCCGTACTAAGTGCTGCGCATGCATTGTGAAATACTCCGGCGGTGCGGCGCAGTAGTAGTACAGAATAGTTTCAGGCTGTTCTTTAAGCAAAGGAAGAGTGCTGGCTTTGCTTTTATCTGTCAAGGAAGTTTAGTGGACGCCGCTTCTCGCTTCGAGGGGCTGCGTGGGTGGCATTATAATATACGTATGGACTAGTAAATCATCAGGTGAAGTGTCTGCTTCGATTTGGCTGTTCAGGGGATTCTAATGCGTGCTTGCATCCTGCCGAATGGGGCTCCTTTACCGAGCAACAATGCATTCGAGATGTCGGATTATGGAGGGACAGGTTTGGGGTGAGACCTTTATCGGCATTTCACTGCTGATGCTGACGAAGGAGTCGAACGATGGCTCGCGTTGTTGTGGAGCAGCATGCGCACATGTTTCCAAAGTTTCTTGTGTGTGTTTTGCTTTCTAATCTTGTGAACTGACTGGGTTCTGGCCCACTGACAGGCAGGCACCTGGATCGGAACCGTCCACACCTGGGCGGATGACTGTGGCGCGGCGTAACAGCTATCATCCTCAGATGAAATCCTGGGCCCGCTCCACTTCGCCCACAAATTGTAGCCATCCTGCATCTGACGGTATCTTGTGGCTACCGGCCAGTGCACCAGCCACCCCTTCGTTGCGTCCTCGTGGACAGCCCGAGATGCAGGGCCTCTGCGGTGCGCATGAGTGTACATACTATGGCAAGATGAGCTGGCGTTTCACAGCACAGATGCTTGATGCTATCCACGCCCACCTAGCCAACCCATTATTACGCCCAATTACCCTAAGGTATGGCGTTCAACGCACGGGTGGTCAAATGGATGTCGCGCAGCAACGCTGCTCAGAGGTCATTGATGGTGACAGTGCCACGGTTATTTCGTTGCCACGGACATTTCGTTCTTCATGTTGCTCTTAATCCTGGTGATATTGTTTCCACAACTGTGTTGTCTGCGTTTCAGGATGGCTCTGTCAGTCTTGATCACTCTTATCACGGAACACATCTTGAAGTTTCAATCCTCCGAGTACAGAACAAGCTGCCTGAAGGTGCTTGCTAACAAAGTGCTAAAGCTAAGACGTGCAGCGGCAGTGGCGACGAAGCTATGCCTCTCTGCATTATCGGACGGCCACACAATCGACGTTTTCTGGGTACGTAATTTCCTTCGTATCCTCGGTCGCAGAGGTTTCGACAAATAAAGTTTGTGCGGTTTGCGTTGCTTGCAGGAAAGCCTCTAAAGGTGAAGACTTCCGCATGCGGCTTTTTAGAAATCCAGTGCCCTAACTTTGTGAGCGCTTTGTTCAGGATGAGTGGGAGGTCCATAGGCTGGGGGCCATCACCGACTCGGCTTTTGCCCGTGACTTTCGTATTCTCCTGTCTCCCCGCAGCTCACAGACAGGTCCGCCTCGGTGGTAGAATTTTCCTTGTAATTAATAACAATGTTGCGCTAAAGTTGTGCCAAGAACAGAGCTATGTCAAAGTTTGGTGTTCAGAGTCAAAGGCGAGTGCATTTCCTCCATATCTGCTGGTGGCTACGACGGACCAAGAGATCGAACGACGGTCAATCCAGGTAGTTTATTATTTGATGCAGTCTCTTGCTTTTTGCATTTGGTCGTCAGTGGAACCGCATACGAGAAACAAAGAATGTCAGCGAACGGAGCTTGCATCACCAGCTACTTTGTTGACTGGCATTACCCGTTTCTCGTCAACAGTTTCGGCGCTAAACATGCGAGGTGACCGCTGTGCTGAATTTGCCAATGCAGGTATTCCTCCTCTTGCGGCGACTGCACCGGGACCTGTCCGCAATCTTACAGTCCATCAGGGCAACTCCAAATGATGCCACTGCTGTGGCGCAGAAGGCGTCGTCAATCCTGAATGGCATATCCGTAGAGCCCAACCCTCTTGAAAGTGAAGATAATGCAGAGCAATATTCCCACGTTGACGAGTCCAAGACGTTAGAGAAAGACGCAACACCCAGTTAGTCTGCAGACTTGTGCCAGAACGTCATAAACTGCACTGCAACGGCCCGTCTCCGCATTTGTGGTTGTCTTCAGCGGCACTATGCCGCAATTTAAGGCGTGAGAAACTCCGAAATTCCTGGCTGTTTGCTTGCTCAGAACTCTCGTTGGAGGGTCGTAACATTATCCGGTGCACTGTGGAAACTTCTACTGGCCCTGTGAGTCATCTTGCAACATAGTCCAGCCTAACCTAGGTAACTTAGTAACATGGTGCTTTGCCCTGGTAGAGAATTCATCTAATAAATACGAAAAGTTAGGGTTTGGTTGCCGCGTGAGCAAACATTTTTGAACACCTGTCTCTGATTGTTGTGGATTGGCCGGATGTNAGGGTTTGGTTGCCGCGTGAGCAAACATTTTTGAACACCTGTCTCTGATTGTTGTGGATTGGCCGGATGTAGGCTACGCGCTACTGCGTACAAGATGACAAGCGACTTCTCCTTGTAACCCCATCGTGCATCTTTCCCGGTGTTGGGGATATCAGGTGTGATTTCGTTCAACGAATGTTGTTGACCGTTTAGTAGGCTACAAGCAAGGCCGCTTTCTAGACAGGAATTGACGCGGCGTTTGCATACGAGGATTGGCTGTGATGCACGCAGGACTTCCCACCCCCTGCGGAATGTTGAATGCCGCTTGAAAACGAGCAGCCCACGATGCATGCATATATTGGTTTTGGATGTCATGCCGCCCGCCGACGGGCCTTCGCAGTCGCCGTCCAGCAGCGCGCAAGACGAACCGCCTACTATGCGGTATCGCCGACACAGTTATAAACACTTCCTCTCTCGTTTTGCCCGCCTTCAACCAGAGTTCGTTGCGCTTGCAAGAAGTTTTCTGAAATGTTTCACGTTGCTCACAACGTCTGCACCTGCGGTGCTGTGTGCAGAGTCAGCCTAACCGCTCCTCCCCTCAAAGAAGGTTTTCGCATGCAGCGTCCGGCACTTTGGGAGATCCGCCTGTATTTCGCTGATGCCTTGCGGTGCAGCACCGTATTTGTGAGTGTGCAAGCCCCTTTGAATGCTTCGCGAAGGTAGTAGGAACTGCAGTTCAACTGTGCATGCTGCGCGGCTTGTGCTTCCCACATCTGTGGCTTGCATGAGTGTTCTGTGTCTCTGCACAGCATGCCATTCAACAAGCACGTGGGATGGTCCGCCGAAATTTAACCGCCTGCATTGACAACTTGCTTGAAGAAGTTTAACTGCAAATACCCGGGGAATGGTCGTNCGAAATTTAACCGCCTGCATTGACAACTTGCTTGAAGAAGTTTAACTGCAAATACCCGGGGAATGGTCGTTGCCGACTTCATTTTTGATCGAGTCGCTCGTGTCGCCTTATCGAGAGCAGGCTCAGCGCTTCGTGCGGAAACGGTGTGTGCATATATTTCCGCCTAACGACTTATTCACCCACCGATACCAGGCAGGGCACCTCAATAAGCTGCACCTTCGCGCACGCCGCTTCCGTGTGCTTAAAGCTTCAGCTGTGACTCTGGAGGTCATGAGCATTGTGAAGCAACTAGCGAAGTGACCAGCTATTCGCAACGAGCAAAATTAGGACAACCATTTCACTGAAGAGATCACGTGCAACTCGACCCAATAGCGGCAAACGTTCTTGGACAACCATTTCACTGAAGAGATCACGTTCAACTCGACCGAATAGCGGCCAACGTTCTTGCATGCTTTTCTGAGGTGTAGTGATAGTCCCATCTGTAAGAGCTTATGAAATTTGTGTCGTGCTGTCGTACCCATGCGTAACATAATGGTGCCAGGAGCTACGAAATGTCATCGGAGGTATATTCGGGAAGCGTATTTTGGGTGAGTGGCGGGGGATCCGTAAAACTAGGAAAGCAGCGGTCAGCGTTTGACCCATCATCCTTTTGCCTCGTAGAGCGTTGGAAGAGGAACAATGCAGTAATCCATCTGCCGGATTATGACCTTAAGTGACGTGTCCAACTTNAGAGCGTTGGAAGAGGAACAATGCAGTAATCCATCTGCCGGATTATGACCTTAAGTGACGTGTCCAACTTCCCATTATCTCCGCGAGCTGTGGAGCGCTTCCAAAGCTTGTGCTTATTACTGTTAAGGAGCCCTTTCCACATAGGCTGCGGCTACACCACATGTCCGTTCGCGCAGTGGGACTTCGGGCTGTCCTGTGTTCTCCAGCTGAAGATCCCTCTCCCGCTACGGTTAAATTCCAGCCTACTGTCCTCTATTTTCCCGATGGGCGGCCATACGTGCCAGTGCGTGGGATGGGAGACAACGGGAATAGCCAAATGCGCCAAACTTCTCGATGTAACTACCGAGCGCAACTCGCGTAAGATACTACCTCAAAACTTAATACGTAAGAAGCAGTGGAAAACAACAGTCGGGGGAGCGAAGCGGAACCAATGGACTGCATAATCCTAGAGGCCCGTTGCAAGCAAAACCCCATGCCACGTAGGCAGTAAGCCAGTGTTTAAATTATGGAAGGCATGAATATTCCACTCCTTGAGCCACAGCTTTGGCATCTTTTTCAGGGACATCGAGTACTTTTGCCCAAAGAAGCACGACGTCTCTGAATAAGAAGTGGCGGAGTGCGTCATGCGAGTTACGGAGGGGGACAACCAGAGAGACCTTGTCAAGAAGGTGCTCGCAAGGGGGGACCATGCGGCTCTCTCGAACAGAGTGGCATTCTCCCGATGAAAAAGCTCTGGATATTGTAGATATGGTTTTTGGCAGTTCCCTGCAGAGGCTTATCGTAGACAGAGGTGCAGTGACGCTCTCCTGCAGAAGCCGAAGGGCCAGCAACACTAAGAGCTGGCGGGGGCGCAGACGGGGCGAAGGCTCTTCACAATGCCTCATGAAGTGTAGCTTCGACAGCAATACGATGTTCTCCTGGGTATCCTGCATCACAGTACACACACCCATCCATCGGGCTCAAGACGTCTCCCTTGCTGAAGACGAAATCCCTGCCATCAGCAGCAGGCCACGCACAAAAACGGAATGCCTCCCTCGGCAAATGGGGAGTTGAACCGTGAGCTTGTNTCTTCGCTTAGCAGCTCGGCTAACAAAGGCTTCCTTCCTCTCTGGTGTTGAGGTATGCTTCCATCTGAAGGTGACGTCTCCTTCGCTGTCGGCAGACTATTGTCGGCTACGGGCAAAGGCCACTCCTGGCAGCTGTCAAGCTCAAGAAGTAAATTCGGCATTGGCATGTGGTAGACAAGCTGATGAGCAGCAAGCTCCAGTATCTGACGTTGGTTACGCACAGCTGGGTGTGTGAGCCTACAGATACGCAGCGCACGCAACCAAGAGGTGAAAAACCTTTCAAACGGTAGGTGTTACTTCCAGGGCACACTTAATGGAATTAGATGGTGAATATTATAACTGCTTCCGAGCTGAATGTATAAATCAAGAAAGAACCTTACACGCGCAGGCACGTGCGCTGCGACGTCAGACGAGCCAATATCGCCAACAGCTCAGTCTTTAGATCTTCAAGCAGGCAATATGCAGCGAAGGCGTAGGCCTGCAGGACCCAGTCTACCTTGCAGCAGCACCGACACTCGTATGGCGGAAGCCCCCTTTGCTGCGGAGCCTGGCGCTCCTCATAACGACACCTTCGTTGCTCAGCACAGCACTGCGGGCAGCAGCACGAAGCGGGAACTACGAAGTACCCCGTCTCAAAAAAACGCACTGTTGCCTGCACGACGGAGCCCGCGAAGTCTCGCAAGTCGATAACCACCTGTGGCCAGCCAGAGGCAGAGGGAGTCTTCCAATGTATATACAGAGGCGACCGNACTCTAACTAAGCTCCGGCCGCCTCAGACATTGTGAAGCAGGTGCAATACGGACTCACTTTGTCAGCCTTCCGGGCCTCCCAGTGTGGTCGTGTCAGTTTAGCCTCAAAAAATGAACATCGCGCCGCCAACAAGGCCCTGTGAGACGCTACCTCAAACCCATCGGCGCAAAGCAGAGTCACATCGGTGAAGTGTGAATGTAGGACGGGAGGGTCTCCAAGACATATATTGGCTTTTATGCATGAGCATGAATTGCCCCCCCTGGTATCCGAATCCGGCTGAATCACTCTATCACTTGTCGGCAAACCTCCAAACGCAGCAGATTGCTGCTCACTTTTTGTATCATTCTTCTTCCAGCCCTGTGCTGATTCGTATGTAGGTTGTTCGCACGTCGCGACGGTAGCTGCATCGGCTAAGCCGAGCAAGCGTTGGTCGCACATTGGCTGTAAACGGTTGTATCCCCAGCTCCCTTCTGCACGTCTCGCTTCCCCAAGGCGACACACCCTTAAAGTATCAACAAGGAAAACAATGTTGACTGCCGGTACAGCCCTTCGAGGAATGCTGTCCTGTACAGCATTTGACTGGATGCCAAGTGAAGTCATGCCTCCAGCCGAAGGAGATTCCCCCAGTTGGTTCTCAGCGGCAGGCGGTCTGGCATCTTCAACGCTCCCGCTCCCCTGAACGGGAGGGGCTGCGAAAACACCTTGATCGGCTCTCTCAGAAGCTGCTAAAGGGTTACCCGCAATAAATGACGCCAAAAATGAAGTAAGAGAAATGCTGCTGCGACTTGTGCGACCGGAAACATCACCAGACTGCTGTTTGACTATGCGATTTGCTGCCTCTGCAGGAACGACGATAAGACCTAGAGGNAAACATCACCAGACTGCTGTTTGACTATGCGATTTGCTGCCTCTGCAGGAACGACGATAAGACCTAGAGGCGACGGAAATGCGTCACGCACCTCCAAGTGGCGAGCATCTTGACTGATAACGGCAACCAGCTCTGCAATTCGAATTGAACAGTCGCAGTTGATGCACACCTACGAAACGCGTTAAATTGGTTATGGACCCAAGCGCCTGCTGCTGTCCAATAACAGGCTAGCGGCAGCAGGCTTCCCATTTTGCTCCAGTGTTATTTTCTGGACGAACACGAGGGACAAAGTACTCTGTTTTACCGAGCCTGAAGAAGGCGGGGGAAAATGTCATGTCGACTCACCGCCGGTGATCATATCAGAAGCACGAGCCGGTTGCAGAGACCTTGGTGGTCCATTTATCCATCCAGTAACGGGTTCTCTTCGTAAAGCGGTGCGGGCACGGAAGAGTATTGCAGACCCGAAACTTATAGCTTCTTCTCCAGTTTTGGGCCGCCGAACTTTGACGCCCGGTTGCCACAGAATGTATCCACTGT